GGGCACAAGCAGAACATTTATTTGCTATATTTTAAAGCAGCTGCATTTTTTTTCTGGACCCTATGGAAGGGCATGGCTGCTTTTAAGTGTTGTAGACAGGTGGTACATTTGGACCCCTCACTCACTCTGGAAGGTCTCTTGGCAATCAAATCCCAATGGTTACATAACCCTAACATTACTGTGGTGGATGCCTTTATAATATGAGGAAGATTCCTGCCACTGCAGTTTTCAGAAATGTTAGATAACATTTTGCACTAAATCTTACCTGCTCCTGTACATTAAATGGAGAGCAGATCTGCTACCAAAATTATGTTGCTCTGCAGAGCTTGTTAATGTAAGTATGACCTAAATTCATGCCTGAAAATGATGTTAGATAGTGTTCCTTCTTCCCCACTAGCAGTAGGCATTGATATGGAATCAAGACAAAGAAAACTTATAATTCTGGAGAAAACATTATAGTCAATATGTAATTGGTGAGTTCTACCCAATGAGTTTTATTCTGAAACTGTTCTGATTGCAGGTTAAAACCCAAGAAATACTACTGTACTCTGGAATGTTCTCAGATGTGATATTTGCCAAATTCAGGACACTATAAGAACAGACATGATTATACTTAAGGCAGTTTTCACTTTGGTCTTTCCTTTCCTACCAGATCTATAAAAAACATCATTGTGACCTTTTCCTGTATATGATATGAGGATGTTTTCTCCTTCTCCTCTACAATTTCTGAAGCTGTCTTTCAGTTCCTTTGCCATCTGGTGTGCTATACTGCAGCAGGAATATAGTTGCTGGGTGGTAGTCTTGGGCCTTACATGAGGATGGGGGTACGGTTACCTTTCACCACCACCAAAGAACATCTTGTATTTTTGAACACTATAAGAAACTAAAAGCTTACAAGAACCCTACCTTGCCAAACTTTGTTTTCTCTATTACACAGCTAGGAATCAAATGGGGCAAATCTTTGACACGTATCCTGTAACTTCACTTTGGGGGAACATAGCTCTTGGAACAGATCATATTAAAGAGAGGCTTTTTGAAAGAGATGCCAGGAAAGATGCTACTACAGTAAATCTTCATTTTGGTTTTATCACTTTAGAAATCCTAGAAGTCTCTCCCAATATCTGAAAAAGTCTTTACCAGTGTTTACATGCAGGCCACACCTTCAGCATGTCTTTTTTTTTTAATTGAAAGTTTTTTAAATTTTACAAAACAAATCCCCTCCCCAAACCCCCCCACCCTCCCATACCCTCCCCCAGCTCCCCAAACCTCCCAAACCCTCCCCCAACCTTCCCAGAGTTGAGTACAGGCTTAATTAAAATTTTTCAAAAAAAAGAAAAGAGAAACTTAAAACACATATAAATCCTAAACAAATCTAAATACCTTAAATTAAATAAATTATCTTCTCTAAAAAATAATAATTGCAATCATTAAACACATTATAATATACTCTAAACATTTTCTAATCATACTTATAATATTAGCCATCATTCTATATAAACTCCCTCCAGAACACAAATTTAAACATTACTTTCTTTGAACATCTATACCTACAATATAAAATCTAATATGAATCATAAACAAATCTGAATACATTTAATTAAACAAGTTATACTCCCTCCAAAACACAAATTTAAACATTACTTAAAACTTAAAACATTAGAATCCCCTTGTACGCATTTAAATCTTTACCAATAACAAATTCCATCTTAAAAATAATAATAATAATTAAAAAAAACCCAAACACTAAACATATGATAATATACTCCAAACCTTTTCATATCATACTTATATTATTATCCATCATTCTTTATAAACTCCCTCCAAAACACAAATTTAAACATTACTTAAAACTTAAAACGTTAAAATTCCCTTATACACATTTAAATCTTTACCATTAACAAATTCCATCCACAATGAACACATTAAACATTTAAATCTTTACCAATAACAAATTCCATCCACAAGAGACACAGTCCTTATCAGTCTCAATTGTCCATATAAAATTTTCATTCGATCTCCATCCTTATCAGGCTCTCTTATCCATAAAGCTCAAGAGAAATGCTTTGAATTTGCATCTCTTGGCAAATTCTTTTGCACTGCCACCACAGAATTAACTCTAAATAATTTTTCAATTTCACTAAGTATTTCCTCTTTTTCTTTATTCAAAATCACAGCAAAGTCCTTTGCAACCATCTCTTTCAGATCTCCTTGCAAAGACTCTCCCAAGCCTCTAATTCTTAAGGCGTAGTCCATTTGTCCATACTGAAGCATAAGAATCTCATTTTCCATTTCTTTTTCCATGCTTTCAAATTTTCCCTCCATCAATTCCACTTTTTCAGCTACCTCTTCCACACGGGAATTCAGCTTTTCAAAAACAGAGGCAACTCCTTTTAAAGCCAAAACTATATCTTGCCTCAAAATCTTATTATTTTCCTCTAAAATCTCTTTCATTTCTGCCCTAATTTGAGATATAACATTTCCCATCATATCTTGCAGATCCTTCACAATTATTGGCTGGACCAAGGAAGAGGGTGAGGCTATTGATTTAGGAACTGTAGGAATCCCTGGACGCTTTGGAGCCATCTTAAAAAAAAAATCTTTACTCCTTCTTGAGAATTACAAAAATTAGATAAAAGAAAAAAAAAAGATTAAATCCAAAAAAATTCAAAAAATCCTTCAAAAGGAGGTCATTATAGCAAAAAAATACTAAACACTTACAAAAATTAAACAAAAGAAAAAGAGAGATTAACTCCAAAAAAAATCAATAAATCCTTCAAATGGAGATCATTATAATAAAAAAGGGAGTTTAAAAAAAAGGAAAGAAGAAAAAAGGAGTTAAATAAAAAGAAATCCATTCCATTTTTTTTAAAAGTACAAAAAACAAAACCAAAAAGTTAAACAAAAATAATAATGCCTCTAGAATCCAAAAAAACCAATCGCCATCTTATTTTCCCTTTCAGCAAAAAAAGAAAAATTAAAAAGAAAAAGAAAGAGAAAGGGAAGGAAAAACACCAAAAAGCCTGCCTTTCAAACAAAAACAATAATGCTTAAACACCAGAAAGCCTGCCTTTTAAAAATACAAAAGACAAAATGAAAAAGTTAAACAAAAATAATAATGCTTCTAAAATCCAAAAAAGCCGATCGCCATTTTATTTTCCCTTTCAACAAAAAAAGAATAAAACATCCATTCCAATCATTAAAAAAAAAAGAAAAGAGAAAGGGAAAGAAAAACACCAGAAAACCTACCGATCGCCATTCTAGCTTCCCAAAAGGGGAAAAAAAAAAACGCCGGAAAGTCTGCCGATCACCATTTTACTTTCCCTTTCAGCAAAAAGTAAAAAGTAAAAAGAGGGAATATAAATGTAAAAATAAGTCTTTAAACTTAAAATCCATATAAAGTCAAAGAAAGCAAAAGCTAAATCCTCTAGTCAACTCTGTCCGCTTCTAAAAAACTCACCAGATCCCTTTAAACGCGGAGGTGGTTGCAACGGCTTGTTTTGTCCCTAGGGACAAAAGCAGCTGGGAAGCGGAGACAGTCTGAACTCCGTGGGAGCACTCTCTCACCCCCCCAAAAAAAATTGGGGGTGCATAAGAGGCTCTACCACTATTCAGACAACACTCTTCCCCCCCCCTTTGCCCGGGAGGGGGATTTTGAACCGCTGAACAGCTGATGTCCGCTGTTCATAGCAATTCATTACACTTACCCAGGAGGACGGCAACAAAGTAGCCGCCATCGCCCACGCAGATCCACCGGAAGTCGCCTTCAGCATGTCTTGAAGGGAGATTTTATAAGTGCCTTATTGAATGGTGTTTCTGTCCCTGTGGTGACAGTCGAGTGGAATATATTAATCGTTATATCCTCCATTCTCCTATTTACAATAAGATTAGGTACCAAAGTATTCATGATAGGTTAATGCAAAGTCTCCAGCCTCAAAAAGTTGAATTATCTTCTTAGAGATAATAGAGATGTATTCCCACCTTTTAGCAGTACAGTTGCTAATTTTGCATGTAGTCATTTAAAATACATGGAAAAGTAAAAACAGAAATATTTTTAAGTTCTTAATCATAGCCTTGCCTTTATCTTGTTTTGACCTCTTTGTATATAACTTCTCTTCTCTTCTCTTCCCTACCCTTCCCTACCCTACCCTACCCTTCCCTATCCTACCCCACCCTACCCCACCCTACCCTACCCTACTCTAGTATTCTATTGTTTTGTACTATGTTGCATCATTATGACCTATGACCTATGATTAAAACAATAATGCAAGTCAATATAAACAACCTGGTCCTGTCCTTATTGCAGTTGCAGTCATAGCAAAATTTTCTCTTTTCTCGGCAGACTTCAAAATTTTCTCTTAAGTTATCACGTGTCTTGTTTCATGCTCTTCTATTATACTCTTAACAGGGTAAGGGAGGAGAGATTATACATATTTGTCTCATTCCCATTGTCCCCCACCTCTGCTATTTCTCTGCCTCCTTTGTCTCTGATCTTCACTTATTCAAAGCGATGGCCTGATGACAGCTTACACAAGCAAGAATTCCTATCCCATGGAAACCTATAACTGCATTCAGGTGAATGCAGATAGAGGTCTCTCAGAACTTTATCCTCAAAGTGCAAAGATCTATGACTGAACTGGAATTTGGAACTTAAATGATACTCCAGATATCTTATATTTCTTACTATACCTTATTCAATCATAACACCTTTACAGAGCTATTGAAACCTGAGCTGGTGTAAATTATGTTAGCATTGGAATAAAGATATTAGATCATTATTACAAATGACCAGATAGTAAGAAAAAGTAGCTTAGAGAGGAGACAAAATTTATCCTTAGACTTTCTGCTTTGAAAATACTGGTTTGCATAGAGCCACCGTGAGATTTAGGCAAATTGTAAAAGGGGCAGCTGAAAGCTGAGCATAGGAAAAGAACTGAAGGGAACTTTCACTAGGATCATTAGCAGTCACTGCCCTTTTTCCTAACTGAGTTTTCTTTTTCCAGTCAGGCTTGATCAGGACGCAGGAAACGGATTACTTTTTGAAACCACTACCTCCAAATATTGCACTTAAACATAACATTTCTGCTCCTGGTGGTCACCGTTCTCATGTACTGTATAAGAGATCAACTGAAACTAAACTAGTAATCAATAATAATGAGGTAATTGGGACAGATGAAAGTCAGCAAGAGGCTTACAATTATGTCTTCCAAGATAGCCAACCATCTCGCAATTCTGAGTGGCGTCAAAAGCAGCACTTTTGTGGAAGGCGTAAAAAATGTATGTAAAGATGTCTCCTCCTCTGTTTATTACTTAATCTATATATTTTAAGATTGCCAATTTGACATTCAGTTCTGCTTTTTTCCAGCAAATAAATATTTTCCCACATAAGATGTGATCTAGAAATGAAATTCAACTGAAATTTGCTACTGCTTTGTATAATGTAATGTGCGAGGCATTTGCTCTAATGTAATTCCACATCAAATGTACAAGCACGTTGATATCACAGTATTTGTAGTGTAAATTTATTATCATGTTAAGCTTCACTGTTCAAAATTCTCTTTTCCTAATGCTTTAACTCCTTAACTGGGAACAAACAATCAATGATGTCTTGTATCTAATGCTTTCTCCTGGTTTTTTCATTATTATTAGGGCCCTGAAATTTACATTGGCTTTTGAATACATTTGCATATTTCTCCATTTTTAATCTTAGGAGAAAATAACCTGATACGAAAGATGTTTTGGATCCAAATCCCATCAGTCCCCAGCCAATGGGACAGAAGACATAGTTTAAATCACCTCAAAAAAAAAAATCAGACAGTCATGTTATACTTAATTTAAGCATCTTTGGCTCAACCCAGTCAAATGAAGCACTCTTAAGCTGCATTGATTTAACCAGGGAAAATGTATGCACAATTTAAATCAATGGTAGTTTGATTATCATTCGCCTATATTAATAATATTTCTGTTCTGCTGATTTCAATTAATGCACAAAGTATGGTTTCTGTCTTTTGTTTTCACTCATTTTTTCATCCATTTCATATGTTTAATGGGGGGTATTCAAGATATTAATTTACTTTGCAATTTCTATAACTGTTTGCAAAACATTTTCACAATTCAACAAATTCAGGGGGTTTGCAAATGCCCGGACCAGTCCTTATGCACTTAAGAATACACCAAGAGGGCTCATTTTAATATTATAGAATGTTGAGATTTCTCTCCATAGCTTCCTTTCTATATTATTTGAGATAAATAGAAACACACTGTGATTTTCTGTATACTTAGTATACACAAAGCATTGGTAGAAACAGATTACAAGTAGTCCTCAACTCACAACCATTTGTTTTGTGATCATTCAAAGTTACAATGGCACTGAAAAGAAATAACTGTCACAGCATCCTCACAGCCATGTGATCAAAATTTGGGCACTTTGACAAACGGTCTGTACTTAACAACAGTTGCAGCATTCCCAGGTCATGTAATTGTCAGTTGCAACCTTCCCAGCCAGCTTCCAACAAGCAAAGTCAATGGGGGAGGATGGATTTGCTTAATGACTATATGATTCATTTAACAGCTGCAGTGATTCACTTAACAACCATGGCTAAAAGGTTTTTAAAATGAGATATGACCTAAAAATGTTAAAAACTGTAAATTAGTGCAGCCACAAACTTGGGAGTACATGTAGAGCTCCATATTATGATACTGGAAATCATAATATCCTTGACTTATCCTTGCTTATTTTCAGTTTGTTGGTTTGGTTTGGTTTTGAACATCTTTTGTCTTGTTCTTGCAGATATGCCTCAGCCTCCAGGTGGAGACACCTATATCTTGCCAGATGAATATAAACCTCTGCTGAGAAACAAGCGATCTCTTCTGAAAGTGCATAAGACCAAAGAGTTCAATGTTGAGACTTTGGTGGTGGTTGACAAAAAGATGATGCAAAACCACGGCTATGAGAATATTACTACTTATGTTCTAACTGTACTTAATATGGTATGGATGTTCCTTTAAGTTGATTACTGAACATTTATACAGAATTCATATTCTAATTATCTAAGACTCCTACATGAAAATGTATCTCCCCTTGCTCCCAGACAAAAGACTCTTCTTGTTGTGATACTGAAAACATTTGATTTCTGTACTGCCCTTAATATCACATCTGGGATATGAGTGACATTTATCAAGTATGTTAACATACCAAATCTTAAAGGTATAGCTTGAATACATAGCCCCACACTGATGCCTCACCTCTTCCTAACTCATTCCTCGTGGCACAGTAAGATTCTTGCAATGACTCTTCTTAAACCTCAGCTCCCCTCCTACTTTTCCCTTTGAGAAAAGCAAGGAATGAGCATAGTCACTTCAAACCATTGCAAATCCTTGAAGCAGAACCTGCAGAGTCACATTGACCAAAAGAAGGCGTCATGTCTCTAGGACTTTCATAACATTAATGGGTAGAAACAAGTATCAGGAAAAAGGAGGAACTTAGATTTTTTTTTTATTGGTAGCTATCATTCAGCTGGAAAGACACATCTTGTTTCCTATTGCTGACCTCAGTGCATATGTATGCCTGTATGTGCAGGTGGATGGACACAAGCACATGCAGGCATATTCTCAAATATCTTTCAATGAATAGGAACATAGCAATTGCGTATGGATAATTACAATGAAATATGGGCTCTTTCATTGAAAATGCTATGTAAAACTTTATGTGTATTCTTGTTTGAGTAACAATAACAGTCAATACACTCACAATCACTCAGACACACACACGCACATATACATCTTGTATGTGTGTGTGCGTGTATACATACATCTTTTTCCTTCTTTTCTGTGCTGTTTAAATAAAGGCAAAAATAGGAGACTACATCAGAGCTATGGATAAAATCAAACATTGTATTCTCATCATAGTTCATTTAACAAAGTCTAATTGCTTCATGATTTCTTAAAAATATGTTTCAGGTTTCTGCATTGTTCAGAGATGGAACAATTGGAGGTAATATCAACATTGCAGTTGTTGGCTTGATACTTTTGGAAGAAGAGCAGGTATAGCGTATTAAATATTTTAAAGTAAATTAAACTTGATTTTTAATCATGATTTTGGATTAAATTCTTGACATAAGTGCAGAAGCATCTGAGTAGCATTATAAGATTAAACCAATCTTTTCTTAACTTGGTGCCTGCCATATGTGTCAAATCACAATTTTTAGAAATGCATGCTGTAAGGCAGCTTCAGAGAAATTATCATTTATCATTGTAGTATTTATACAATGTTGTATTTATCTTTATGCAAATGTAAATTTAAAGAGAATAAACATATGAAAAAGAATGTTCAGGATTGAGCTTGTTAGTTTTGTATGCAGATACAATGTGATGAGAACACTTCTATACAGTGGATGTGTGGGTGTGTGCATATTTATATGTATAAGTAAATAAGCTATCAATGGGCAGGACAGCCAATATATATGTATTTTTAAGTGCTTAGGTGGAGAAAATCATAAATAAATCATTTATTTATTCCACAGGTGTAACCATGACCCTCCCTCCCATTCTATTTCATCCATACATTTTTGTTTTGCCTACATGTCATCTACCTTTTAACACCCCAATTATGTTGTATAATTAATTTGTATGTTTCAAATTACTCATTCCCATCATAAGAACTTGCCTTCTTTTTTATCCTGAATACTTGGTATTGAAACTTGATCCTCATTCTCGGGGAAGCTGCAAGCTTAATGCTTCATCCACTGTCCCAGTTGAGGCCAAATGTAATCTTTTCAAATCGAAGGCAGGGTTTCAAGTATGGTATAGACATAGCTCCTATCTCCTTGGCTACACTAGATCATTCCTCTGAGCAATGGACAGTTGGAAAGGAAGAGGCCAGGATCCTGGAGCACTATGCTTGTCAGGGCTACAGAAAACTAAATTTTAAGTGCTTTCAGGGTAAAGGAGTCCCATTATGACAGATTAAATTAAGCTGCTTGGCTCTTCTCTCGTAGAAGTTTAGATTTAGAAGCAAAATTGCTTAACAATGTTCAAAGGATCTGGGCCAGACCACAGCATCACACACTGGCTGCTTCACAGAAGTGTTTAGCCAGAATCTTTTTAACCACAGGTCAACAAATAATTAGGGACTGATTCACACCTCTAGCTAAACTACAACGTGTGATATTTCACATCCAGTAAAGCCAGGAACAGACAAACCTCAGTAGGGCTTTGTGTCTTGTATGAAGAGCCATTCTCTCAGGGGTTAACCCAGGTCAGATTCTATGTAGCCAAAGTTCAGAGAGAACTAGATTTCAGTCCAGTGAGGCCAGAGGTGAATAGGGCAGCCCTTAGCAAAAAGAAGAGTTAATTTGTGTAAGCAATAACAGTCAAGCAAGGTATCCAGTGTCAAAAGCTGCAACTGAAATTCAGCATAGCTAGAGGGAAACAGAACATCAGGGCAGGGGTCAAGTTCCAAAGGGAGAGACAATTGGGGGAAAGGGAATGCACATTTCACCAGGTAAGACTGTTTCTCTGAGAAGACAAAAAAAATGCACATTTACGTTGGAATATTGTAGAGGTGATAGAATCATGTTATGATTCAGAATTGGTTGACAGAGTGGCTCAGACTCAGTGGTGGGATTCAGCCAGTTCACACCACTTCGGCAGCTAATTTTTTGTGGCCTAGGCCCAGAATGGACTTCCGGAAGTGGTATCCACACAGAGAACCAGTCAGACTGATAGGCTTCTCTGGCAGAAACTTTACATGATTCAAGACTTCTAGCTCAGTTCACTCAGAGTTCCTCCTCATTTCAAGGACTATTTTGGCCTCTCTCATTCTCGGTTATGAGAGATTGCCACTTCTGGACTGGTTTGAACCAGAATTGTTAACCATGTTTCATAGTTGTCATGAATCATGATTAACCATGGTAGCATCACAAGCATGAAGGAATTTCAAATTTATTATAACACTACGGCCAGATACAAACATGAAGGAAAAATCTGCATATTAATGAGGAAAGAATAAGTTCATGGTTACTATTCAATTGCAATTGAAGGGCTATATATGCACAGCCCCACCAGGAGACATGTTTTATGGTAAAAGAAAAGCCAGAACATTTTATCTTCTTCCATTGACTGAACATTCTTATACTGAGCACATTTCTGGAGCATCCAATAAAATACTTTAAGTGTTAGTGTTAGTTTGAGGGATCACCCTTTCCTTGTTAAGCCATGAAAGAAAAACTCAAGATTATCATCATTCCAGCGGTTACAACTGTGTTGATGGTATATTAAAGTCTATTTTCCCATCATTTATTTCTCTCCTTCCTTTTTTTTTCTTTTGAATTGATTCCAAACTCCTGTGTAGTAGAAAACTCTACTAGCAATGTAATGCTTCATTTTATGTGCTGAGCGATCAGGTTCCTAACGTGACAGCTTAATTACACTGAATGTTTAGATTTTCATGCTTGGACCATGTCCAACCTGAAAAAGTAGGAAGAATAATCTTTTGATCTTACACCTGTGACATAATTTTCCTTTATATCTCTGGCTTGGAAGTGCTACTTCTCTAAATCTTTTGCTTGCTATTCTGTTGCTTTTAAGACTATCCATAACCATATTTGTGCACTACTGATCATATAAACAAAGCAAAAGGAGCTAAAAATTAACTAGCAAATGGGAAAAAACTTACAGTTTAAAACCAACCAAATTTTACAGTTCAGCTTTGAATTAATTAATTAATTAGAATTGTACATCGGAAAATGCCTTTGGGCGGATCTTTCTCATTGTTTTTCCCTAATTTTTCTCTTTACATGTTATTCTAAGAGAAAGAAATAGCATTGGACAGACTATAGATGATAATCTCTTCAGAGATTTGTCTATCTCCCTCCCTATAAAGACATTAAAGATTTATTTGACATTCTTTGCTAAAGTGAGGTGTGTCTTCTGGATTAATTTATGATTCAGTTTCTATACTTTAATCTAATGTTCAGAAACCATACATTTTGGACTTGATGCTTTGGTAGTTGACACATTTGGGAAACAACTTATTTTGCTGTATAAATTACATTATGCTGATATGGTGGAAAAGATCCAGCAATAGATGTGGCCAACTTTTAAGAGCTCTTAGTGGCTGATACAGAGATATATTATCATGTTTCTCAAAAGGCTTATTTCATAAGTACCAAGGGCTTGAATAGGTACAAAAATATCAATAAAGTGTCCAGACATGTCAATCTGTCTTATTGGAATTCTAGCCTTTAAAGTTAATTAACGCTTCATAAAATCTTTTCTTTCTTATAACTTATTCATAAATACAGACATTAACCATATTTATGCAATAAGGCTTCCCAAGATATTTGAACAAAATTCCTAGATAAAATGAAGTTCACTTCACCTCTTCTCCACATAGCCAGTCTTCTTTCTTCAGTATTAAAGAAGAAGATGGAAATGGCTTCATATATCCTCTCTGCATTCAACACTCCTCTTCTAATCACAGATATTTCAGGTATTTAGGTATAAAGAACAGCAGCAAAGAGAGAAGAGAAGAGTAATCTTAAACCCAGTAGGTTTTTCTTCCAGAGTTTTTGGAATAAAACCTGAATAGCTTTAATTTACCATAGTCAGCATCAGCTGTGAAGGGTGATATCCTAAACAAATGGAGGTACCTGATTTCTTAACATTGTTTTTGAGAGCTATTTCACAAACCCGAATCATGAGTACAAGCAAGCATAGAGGAATTAGCACCTGACAGTCCTAATCTCAACATTTCTTTGCCATCTAGCCATATACAGAATACTGTGATATTCCGTTTTTGGGAGCATGGTCCCTTCTCCACTACTATGAAAATTATAGGTGAATGCTAGAAATTCCTTATTGATCAAAAATGTATTATTTAGATTTCCAAGAAGAAAACAAATAGCCCATTGCAATCCAGGTAAACTGTACATATCGCAAACCTCACTGTGCATTTGAATCTGTTGGGGTCTGGTAGTTCCAAGGATGAAATTATGACTTTGGAAAGTCAAAATGTTTTCTGCAGGAAGTTTCTGGAAAATATCTGAAAATGGTGGAACAGGTTTTTTTTTTATTGAGGAAAGTGAAGATTTGCCACTAATCTTGTAAAAATAATAAAGATTCTAGAATTCCATATTTATTATCTCTTGTAATCATATTTTTCACAATCTTTATTAGTACTGGGTGATGCAATGGTTCAGTGGTTAAGATGCTGGGCTTGTCGACTGGAAAGCCGACAGCCCAGGTTTGAGACCCGAGAGTTGTACAAAGGGGTGAGAGCCCATTTTCGCCTAGCTCCTGCCCACCTAGCAATTTGAAAGGATGCAAATGTGAGTAGATAAATAGGTACAACTTTGACGGAGAGGAAACAGCACTTCATGTCATGCTGGCCACATGACTTCAGAACTGTCTTTGGACAGCACTGGCCCAATGGCCTTGAAAAGGAGACGAGTGCCGGCCCCTATAGTCAGCAATGACTAGCAGAGGACTCCTTTCCTTTTCCTCTCCTTATTAGCATTACATTATTTGGTGAAGCCAGTGACTGTGATTTAAAAATATTACTCTATACTCTTGTTTCTCTGGTTCTACTGGGAAACACTAACTTGCAATATCTGAAAGAGAAAACAACAAATACAATATTCTATGTTCCAAGATGCCATATCAGCCCACTGGATAAGCCACAACAGAGAGTTAGTGAATCAGCTGAAGAGAGTTTGGGCAATAGTAATCAATGCTCATTGTTTATTGATCACTTGGCAGGATGCAAACCAGGCCTACCAATCTGGGTGCATCCAAGGCAAATACTTTTGCTAGGCAAGTCTGGTACTTTACTAAGTGCTTGATAAATATATTGGTTTTCCAGTCCTAGAAAGAACTCCTGTATGAAGGCTCTGATGGATTGCCTGGCCTTGGCTGGTGAGTTGCATTAGGCAATACAACCCTTTCTAATGAGTTTACATTAACAATAGGTCTTTGAAGTTCCTAAAAATGTCAAGTTGATTTTGCAAAGTAGACCAAAGCGTGGGAGATCAATTTATTTTGTCTAAGCTGTTTTTGTAGAAGAAAAATATTGGTGTTCTGTTGTTTCTCAAATCTTGCCCCAAAGTGCTGGTCTGTTTTTATTCAGTTGCAAACTGTATTTTAAAAAAAAAAAAAAAAAATCCCTGCTCATTTTTACTTTCCAATTTAAAAAAAAAAAACTGAGCAGAGGTGCTCTTTTGTTTGACTTGTCTGCAGCCAGGCCTTGTGATTAATCACCATGCTGACCATACCCTGAGTAGCTTTTGTCAGTGGCAGTCTGGGCTGATGGGAAAGGATGGCAGCCGCCACGACCATGCAATTTTACTGACTGGCTTTGACATCTGTTCCTGGAAAAATGAGCCTTGTGATACTTTAGGTAAGTCTCTTTTTTTGCTTGCATTGGACCACAAGTGCACCAAGGAGCCTTTGGCAAGACTAATATCTTCAAATGCAGATCCTAAATACCTACAATCTGCAGAATTTAAACATCATCTAAGTCCTGATGCTTAGATGATGAGAAAAGCAGTATTCCCATTATTTAAAATATTTTTCTACCTTTGTACAAAGATAACAATCCAGTGATTGCAGTTCCAAACAGAGGCTAAATAATGTCAAGTACATAGAGATTTTTCCATGTTCTCCTTGTGATGCTACTTGGAGTAGCAATATCTGATAGGAAAAGACACAAATCTTATTAATAAATGAGAATAATCTGCTCCAGCATCTTTCTACTCAAAGACAAATCCGGTTTGTAATGCATCATTGGGACTTGTAATACATCTCAGTTGAAGCTTCCAGGGATTGCAGGAAATAAATAGATGAATCAAACCCAATGGCTACATTAAATTTTATCACTTTTTGTGATTAAAAAAGGGAGGAGTCTCTTTCCACCTTAATTGTCTAATCCCAATTCTTTTCCTAAGGCATGCTGTTTAATCTTTTTTCACTTAAACTCTCCAGGATTTGCACCCATAAGTGGCATGTGCAGCAAATACCGCAGCTGTACTATTAATGAAGATACTGGACTTGGACTTGCTTTTACTGTTGCTCATGAATCTGGACATAAGTAAGTTTGTCAACCTGTTTTTGGAAAAATGAAAGAGTTTTAATCTTAAATTCTTTCCTGCCAAAAGATGACCAAGAGATGATTCTTTTAGATATCTAACCATGCTATGATTTCCAATAACTAGGATTATTGCTTACATTTTAATCACAGTTTGATCTTTAAGTATAAAAGGAAAAAATACTGAGGCTATTGATCTGCCCCACGTTCTACCTTCTTAGAGTTATCCTTTACGGTGGCTGCAGTGGCTATAACTAAAATATTAAAAATCCTATTTAAACTATAGATTCTGGCTCATGGCTATAATTTGCAAGTGATATCTGTTATAAACACCTCAGTAACATATCTTAAAAATTTTACTGATTTTTTTAAAAAATATAATTCATTCAATTGTTATACTTTATCAATATGTAAAATCTCTGTCTCTTACAACCACAGCTTTATTGCAGAACAAAGCAAAAAAGTATGACAACTTGTAGTTGTATGCACAGTTCCTGTGCCATTGTATCTGTGGTAGTGTATAGAAAGTGTTTTAAGCCATAATCTCGTCTGTCTATGACTTAATGTATTTTGCGATCACCAGCAGTTAACCCTCATTAAATACACCATTGGATATCAGGTTTTAGGATCCAATGCATATTATTAAACAAATTAAGCCAGCCCACTTAATGCAGGTTACAGTTGTGTAGGTGCAAATAAATCAATATGTTTGTCTGCCTAAATTCTTTCCTTCCTAAAATTATTTATAGCCTGTAAAAACACAAAAATTGATAAACATATATGAAACTATGTAGTCTAAGCTCTAGTTTTATGCTGAATAAAATTATTTAGATAGAATGTTTAAAGGGCCCCTAGAAATGTATTGAAAAATCATTGTGTTTCAAAAGAACTGTATATCCAGATTAAGATTATGCGCAATACTGAAAACAATAGTTAATATTCCTCTTCTGCTCAATTTAAATTCTGGCATTATGAGACAGTATTTGTAAAGGTATTTGTAAAATTAACATTTTGCCTCTTACAGCTTTGGCATGGTCCATGATGGAGAAGGAAATATTTGCAAAAAGTCTGAAGGTAATATTATGTCACCCACATTAGCAGGACACAATGGAGTCTTCTCCTGGTCAGCTTGTAGTCGTCAATATCTCTACACATTTCTAAGGTACATGTGCCAAGTGACTGATTTCAGTGAGGAAAAAGCATAAGGTCTGAGAAAGTTGCTTTTGTCCCTTAAAATGGGAAAGTTTCATTATAGAAAGCTGTAGGTACCGATATACATGCAGTGAGATCTGGTGAGTTTCAGATTCAGCGTTTTAGATTACACAAGGTGATAAATTTAGTATGATTCTATATGGTCCATATAGAATGGATTGATGGATTACATTTCCTCAGTTTATTTTCTGGGAGCAAAGAACATATTGCAGGAATTTGGTTAATGCATTCAAGGAACATATGAGGGAGGAGACTGCATGCCTCCAATCTTTCCTGGGAATTCTCCACACGAGTTGAACTACAAGTATAAATGTCCTCAGCCACCCAACATGGGACTTTAGTCCCTGCAGATGGAAAAGATTCATATTTATTATGTATAAATAAATATATTTTTAGCTCGGTGTTGATGGCAGCTATAAGTGCGAGTTTTATAATAATTGCAAAACAACTAAGAAGTCTAAATCGAAGTCTAGTTTCTCTTTCTCCTATTTGGAAAATTCCATCATTGATCTGAGTCATTTATCAGAAAAACATACATATTCTACATATGCCTCATCCCAAACTTGCCTTCCTTCTATTCCTGCTTCCTTCCATTTAATGGACACATGTAGAAGGCAGAGGAAATGTTCTTGAAGGACAGGAGAAAGGCAATGATTAGATAAAAGGGGTGTGAGCCTGAACCAAGAAGGTAACATGAGTAAATATCTCAGAAAAGCCCCTCCCTAGTTTTCACAAGATAAAGGGTTAAAGGAGAAAGCACACTAAGACTTACAAGATACTCTTATTATAGTTTTAGAATAAAGTAGTACTACCTATATGTCATTGGTTTCCTGGACCGGTCTATCTTGGAAGGCTGATATCATGTTATACTGAATTTCTGTGCAGTTTGTGATCTAAAACTGTCCTCTTTCAGAAATGACTAGCTATTACAAGAGTCACTGTTAAATCTGAATGTGATATAACCAAAGATGTCTTGTTTGGATCTCTTTAGCTCTCCTCAGTCCTTATGTCTTGCTGATCAACCTAAGCCTGTGCAGGAATACAAGTATCCAGAGAAACTTCCAGGGGAACTTTATGATGCAACTATTCAATGCAAATGGCAGTTTGGAGAAAAAGCTAAGCTATGCATGATGGACTTTAAAAAGGTATAACTATCTACCTATCTATCTATCTATCTCTATATCTATCTATCTATCTATCTATCTATCTATCTATCTGTCTGTCTCTGTCTCTATCTCTATCTCTATCTCTGTCTATCTATCTATCTATCTATCTATCTATCTATCTATCTATCTATCTATCTATCTATCTATAATGTAGTCTTATTCTAGATTAAATTTAGCAAATTATTTAACCTAGGGCAAGGGTGTCAAACTGCCAGCCCATGGGCCAGATGTGTCCTGGCGAAACCACGCCCATGTGACGTTGCGAGTTTGACACACATACCCCAGATCTAGGGGCTCAGAATAATGTATGTGTATTATTAGATCTTCTTCCTCATTTTATTCCTACAGGAAAGTGTGAGATACATTAGTTTGAAAATAGTGACTCTCCTAATTATCATGAACTATTATTCCACCCAGATTAGAAATTAATAAACTGATTTTGATTTAAATAACTTTTTATTTATATATTTATTTGCATATATAAATACATACTATCAGATTTCATATGACTTCCCCATTCAAACTAGTTTTTAGATCAGCTTAAAATAGTGCAATAATGACAGAGAAAATAAAAACTAGCTAACAGTCTGAGATTTTCCGAAGTATTCATTTGTGCTGGAAAAGGCCTTGAAATAAGCACTGTCCTGGGAAAGAGCAATCCAAAGTTGGACTGACATCCCTGGGGAAATCCCTTTCCTAATAGCTCTGTGGAATAGAAATCCAGAAAGAATCTCTTGGTTTGATCTGAAACATTTGTATTGATCCTATATACAATATTTGGATAGAAAACTCGTTTACATGTAGTCCTCAACTTACAAGCACAACTGAGCCCAACATTTCTGTAGCTAGGTGACGCAGTTGTTAAGTGAGTTTTTCCCCATTTTACAACCTTCCTTGCCATCATTGTTAAGTGAATCACCGCAGTTGTTAAGTTAGTAATACGGTTATTAAGTGACTCTGGCTTCCCCATTGACTTTGCTTGTCAGAAGGTCATAAAAGATTATCATGTGACCCTGGGACACTGCAGCCATCATAAATATGAATCAGTTGCCAAGCATCTGAATTTTGATCATGTGACCCTGGGATGCTGCAATGGTTGTGAGAAAAACAGTCATAAGTCACTTTTTTGAGTGCCACTGTAACTTCAAACAGTCAGTTAATGCACTGTTGTAAGTCAAAGACCATCTGTGTTTCAGTAACATTTCTTGTCCAGGGAATTAAAATTCCATGGATGTTATACACGGAGAAGTTCTGTCATTGCCACTGTTGCCCCTCCATGTAGTTCTTGTCCTGTTTTAAGATAGACAAGAAAAAAACAATTCTGTATGTAGACATTGTATGGTATGTACCTACTAAGAGCATGACTTTGCTTTCCTTCTATAAGCCATTTTTGGTCTAACTATTCTTAATGCAGTATTTCTGTTATTGCTATTTTTCCATCTACTCTTTTACTCCACCAGGATATTTGTAAAGCATTGTGGTGCCATCGAGTTGGTAGAAAATGCGAAACCAAATTTATGCCAGCTGCAGAAGGTACAATCTGTGGTTACGATATGGTAAGAAAATATTTGATAGATGTTATTTATATAAATAAATGGTGGAAGCTATGAAGTGGAAGTTATGATGAAAGTGAGTTGAAATGGGAAATAAAATACCCTGCATCACTATTTTAATTGAACTGAATTCAATTGAATATTTTTTTGGCCATGTCTGCTAAGATATAAAGGCATTTAATATCTGTTAATCACTTTTAGTACACCTGAATCATTTGAATTTAGATATATGTTTATTCCTATCCTTACTTAGAGCTTTTCATATTATCCTATGCGTAATGAGTATTCTTTTAATTATTTGATGTATTGAAGAACCAGACCTGCGTATTCATAATTCATGGATTATTAAATATTGAAATCTTCTTTCCTCAGTAATGCCACTATTAAAAATGTGAGATGCTGGTTAGGCTTTCCTACAGCTGATAGAATGTTTGGTCTTCCCCAAAGGATAGACTAGGTCACTAAGTTGTATGGGAAGTCATTTTATTAGAATAACTGCACCCTTGGGATCAGGTTATGGTCCTGAGTATCCTCATGTGATCTTGGAAGTCACATCGAAAGAAAGTTTAAATATCCTCTTAACTCCATAAGCTCTAGTTGGCTTCCGGTCAGTTTTGGTGAAAGAACACTTCTATGAATATCTTATCACTGATTAATTCCAGGCTTTGTGGAACAAAGAATAGTTTCTCAAAGAAAAACTGCATGAGAAGAAGTCTGGAATAATCAAATGATAAGCATCTGTTTGGGTTTTTATTTAAGCATCTTATATTCTGCCCAATCCATCAGTGGCTCTGAAGATTCTTTTTTATACATTGCTTGTTCAAGAGGGCTATGTCACAATAATATCAGTGAAAAGCCATGTTTCTTTCTTTTCATTTAACAATTCTTCCCCTCTCTTTAATCCGTTCAGTGTTAGCACTCAATCCCCCAACTTCTTCCCCCTTATATACCCTTTTCTCTACATGTTATTTGCCATGGTTTTTTGGCACCATTACAGATCTCTCTGAAGTTATTTAGCTATTAATTCACTCTATCTTTTCCTAACTTATCTCCATCTAATTTTGCACCTCTGTTCTCCTTCTTTTCCAAAGAATCCCATATCCCACAAATTCCATATCCTCCTTCTCTTGCTTTAGGACAGAAACCTCTCTGCAATCCTATCTCTCAGCTTTTCCTTCCTTCCTGCCTACCTGTCTGTCTATCTTTTTTCTTTGTGTCCATCTCAAATGGCTTCTTCTAATCTTAGTTAAATTTAGTAGCATTCTCCCAGGAATTCTCAATAATTCAGCATCAAATATCAGATGTAAGTAGTTTAACCCCGATTGGACCCAGATAAACAAGGGGAGCTGGCAGAGGGTTGGGGGAGTCTTAAACTTGCAATTTATTCCAGAAGAAGCTTCTGTTTACATGTGTGGAGGTTTTCATTCTAATACAAGTAGCAGATGTGGAGAGCTGTTCTGTATCAAGATTACAGCAGAGAACAAAAAATTTAAAATTTCTTTCCATCATGGCGTTACAAAACCATTTGCAAAAATATTATTTGTGTGAATTAAATAATAACAGACAGAATCATGCTGTATAACTGCAACAAGCTGCAAACACTGACTCTCAGAATACACAGATTAAAAAAAATTAAATTTGTGAGGCGTAAACATTGTTACAAACAGTGGGATAGGAGATTTTTTACCCTTCAGAAGTTGCTGGACTCCAGTATCCATCATCTACATATAGTATAGTCAATGAGCAGCGGTGATGCAAGATGTAGTTCATTATCATAGAGCAGTGGTTCTCAACCTTTCTAATGCCGCGACCCCATAATACTGTTCCCCATGTTGTGGTGACCCCCAACCACTTATACATCACCGGGTGCCAGGGGCGTGGCCAAAGAAAAGGGGGGAAAAATGGCGGACAGCCTTGTTTGGCGACCCCCGTGAAATGGTCGTTCGACCCCAAATGGGTCCCGACCCACAGGTTGAGAACCACTGTCATAGAGAGAGTGACAGGTTGCCTATCTCAAAGCAGACAATCGTTGTCATTACGATTATTTTTAACTTCAGTTCTTAGAAGAAGAAATATCATATCAGGCTGGTTTTCCAAACCAAACTATAGGGTCATTTGACTCCAGACAAGATTTCAAGGATATATCATAAACAAGGAACATGTCAAGTTGAATGCAGACAGACTCAGTTTAAACTTTCACATCAAAGCCAGTGTGTACTTTTAGGTTAAATGGGGTGTAATCCTGACTGACAGTCCCAAGAGATGTGCTGTGTGTGAGTGTGTGTGTTTGTCCAAGAATAACAGACAGGAACAATTAATCTCAAACAAACGACTTCATTTATAAATCAGATAGCATGCACGATCTCTTTGCTTTCTTTACTATGTGCACATTTACTATTTTTAACATGTCACTTGCCATAAATCATTCTCATAAATATAAGGGGATAGAATCTAGAACAATAACATAAAATCTGACAAGATGACTGTAAATAGTCTCTTTGAAATATAAGATTTTAAACACAGTCCCCTGGTCCAAGTGGGGGAAAAGCCAGGAATCTAATATGGAAGCGGGCTGTTATGTCGATCTAAATGCATACTCAAATACTCTATATTCTTTTTAGAAGCGTCCTTTTGAATATACAACAAAACAAACACTGAGCATAACCAACAGCACCCATTCAGGTGTGCATCAGATTCAAATTCAATCTGATACACATGCAAAATCCTGCTTTTCTGCATGATTTATTATCTCTATCCAGGGTCAGAAATATTCCCAACAATGGTTAAAAAAAACAGAATATATTAAATGACTTATTTTTGTGAATGAAACATGTCTTTTCCTGCAAAATGAATAAAATAGAATCATGGTCCACCCCCAACTCCTTCTGTTGTTAACTTATCTCATACGTATATATTATCTGATGCCTAAGCATATACAGTAAGATTAAAAAGATCTTCCTGGTTTAGCTGATGTGTGTATTGATGTTATCCACTTTGTCTAATGCATGGAAAAATCTCACATTTATATTGTGAAGCTTATGGGATAGAATTTGAGATATAGAGCTGTTTCAGACCTAAGTGCTTGATAGCCAGCTTCAACCGGTAAGATGAAACTCACTCTCAGCAAATAAACCATTAATTTCTAGTGTAACATAATAATAATAGTAGTAAAGTTGGAAGGGACCTTGGAGGTCATCTAGTCCAACCCCCTGCTCAGGCAAGAAACCCTACACCATTTTGGACAAATGGCTGTCCAGTCTCTTCTTAAAAACTTCCAGTGTTGGAGCATTTACTGCTTCTGGAGGCAGGCTGTTCCACTGGTTAATTGTTCTCACTGTCAGGAAGTTTCTCTTAGTTCTAGGTTGCTTCTCTCCTTGATTAGTTTCCACCCGTTGCTTCTTGTCCTGCCTTCAGGTGCTTTGGAAAATAGCTTAATTCCCTCTTCTTTATGGCAGCCCTGAGATATTGGAATACTGCTATCATGTCCCCCCTTGTCCTTCTCTTCGTTAAACTAGACATACCAATTCTAGCAACCGTTCCTTATATGTTTTAGCCTCCAGTCCCCTAATCATCTTTGTTGCTCTTCTCTGTACTCTTTCTAGAGTCTCAACATCTTTTTTACATCGTGGTGACCAAAACTGGATGCAGTATTCCAAGTGTGGCCTTACCAAGGCATTGAAGAGTGGTATTAATACTTCACGTGATCTTGATTCTATCCCTCTGTTAATGCAGCCTAGCACTGTGTTGGCATTTTTGGCAGCTGCAGCACACTGCTGGCTCATATTTAGGTGATTGTCTACTAGGACTCCGAGGTCCCTCTCACAGTTACTACTATTGAGCATGGTGCCACCTATGCTGTACTTGTGCATTTGGTTTTTCTTGCCTAAATGTAGAACCTTATTTTTTTCACCATTGAATTTTATTTTGTTAGTTAGTGCCCAGTGTTCAAGTCTGTCCAGATCCTTCTGTATCTTAAGCCTGTCTTAACGCTTTATCTTCTAAAACTATCACGATGTACAATACAATAGGCCATATTCACTCTTTTCTTTTTTCACTGTTAAGGGAGAGACTTTTTTATTTCACATATAAACTAATTCATTTCATGGATAAGAGGCAGAAAGCATTTAGTCGATACTCATTGTATATCTGGAAATAAAAAATTATTATCTTTTCAGTAGCTAGAAATTATTACTACAAGTAATGGATGAAGATAGGAACATATGGGTTGGTGCAAATGTGGTTGAGGCAGTTATATCAATATAATTCATCAGTGTCAATGTGGGTTACATATCAAGAAACAGAACATTCAGCAATTATTATATAGAAATTTTTCCATAATGTATTCATTTTATATTCCAAATGTACATATTATTGCATATTATTACATATTACACAATTTTATATTCCTGTTCCTAAGGGTATGCTCTTTTTCACATACAGTTTTTAAAATGCACTCTATATTTGATATAATTCTCTAGGAAATACTTTTTCATGTTCTGTTTTTCAAAATAAAAACAAAATTATAATAATTATGTAATTTTTATAATTTTTTAAACATTTTAATTCTAAAATTTTAACTCACTTTTTAATTTTATATACTATTTTATATTATATATGTTTTATTGTACATCACCCACAGTTCCTTTTTGAGGGATATGGGCCATTTAGAAATGTGATGTGTGTGTGTGTGTGTGTGTGTGTGATATATGATATATATTATGTAAAATAGTGTATATGTATGTATATATATACTAGCTGTACCCAGCCACGTGTTGCTGTGGCTCAGTGTGGTTAAATGAAAAAAAAAGAAAAAAAGCGCACATTTATAAGATGTTTAATTTCACAATGCTTGTGGGTATACAATATTTTTTGTTGTTCCATTGTGTGTGCAGATGTAGAGATTACGTCCAACAGATGGTGCTGTTTTTCAAAAAAAGCATGTTTTTCCTGTCACAGGTGTGACATCTATATAATATAGGTATATAAAAACACGCGTGTATTCG